AATGATAGTCAGAAGTCACCAGTGCTACTTTTAATAGCATGGAGTGAAATTCAGCCTGTGCAAACAGCTAGCACTAAGCTTGTTCATCTTTTAAGCCCTGTCCCCACTGTTTGCCATTCAACACAGCCTATTCACAGGGCTGCCAGAACTGAGATATGGGAAGCATGTTTGATTGCACCAGCATTTCTCATGTCAAAGAAGTATTGCTATGTTCGATGATATTCATGTCTCATATCACCCTCTGCTGCACTTCCCTTAAGGGGGTTCCCACTTGTGAGGGCATGAAATCACCACCCTAGGGCTGGAAAAATGCTGGAAAAATCCCTACAGCAAGGACTGGCATGTAAGCATTGTTTTAGCCTCAGTCCCTGACATGGGGATGGATTTATATATCAACATACTGGCTGCTTCATCATAGAATCAATTAGGTTAGAAAAGACCTTTAAGATCATCAAGTCCAACTGTTAACTTCTGACAAGCTGTTTTATTCTAACATGCTGCTTTCCAAAGGCCAGCCAGGTAATCCATCCATAATATACACTATTAGTGTTAAATTCTTCTCTTTTCAGCTTGTGCCTCCACCTAAATTGTCAGCTGCTTTAGAAAACAGGACAGCAGAAGCATGGTGTCTCTCCTGCTGTTGGACTTAGATGTATGCTCATAAAAGGCTTGTTGCTTAATTTGCATGCCTACATACCTTGAAAGCTGAGTGCTTAATTAAGTATCAATTCTGTTTCTGGAATACTAGAGGTGGGAAGCAAATATATCAAAAGTTATTGATATAGGCAAAAATAAGCATTTTTAAAGTAAAACCAAAACCAGGTAGTATTTCACTATTATTTTTATGGGGGGTGAGTAGAATTTCCAGGAAAACAAATACTCAATCTCATTATCATTTCTGATGACTCAAAAGTTTTCACACTACTCCTTTTGTGGCAGGCATTGGATAAGCCAATGCCTTTTTCAATAAAAGAACAAAGGTGTCTGTTGAGAGGACAATTTCCTAGAAGGGCAAAGAGGTTCAAGTAGTTGCTGTTCTTGACAGTAACACAAAGCTACCAAATGTGGAAGTGATGATTAGGTAGTCTCTTTGCTGATCTAATATTGAATTTATAGAACTGTGTAAAATAGTCCCAGTGAAAGGGACTGATGATGACATATCCTGGTTAAGGGATTCATATTGGACCAGGAGAGAAAGAAGTATGTATGGATAAACATAAATACGAACACCAGCCTTCCTTTTGGCCTAAGTAAGTACTTGTTGTATGTGCTGTGGATATTAGCTTTCTCTTTTTCCTTCACCAGAAATAAAACCATTGTCAAGTATGCTATATATATTTGTGCAGAAATGTTTAGTTTTGACAAATCAACACTTTTTGACAAGAAAATAAAAAAAAAGCATTTTCACTGGCAAATTCTTGAGCAGCCCTATCAGGCAGTGCTCCCAGAATTGCCTTGAAACTGCCAAATCATTCCCACAAATATGAAAATGCAGTTCCAACTTCTTTAACGGAATTTGCATTTTTATATCAAGGGACACAATTTGGGTCTTGGTCTAAAACACATTGAGCACTTTTTAAAGAGAAACTCATTTAGCAGTGGTGTAAGTCTCTGCAGTTTCCGCTTTGTCTATGTGAGCTTCCAGTTTTAAAAAATGGCATGAATACATGCAATGTATTTATATTTGGATTTTATAGCAGTATGCAACTGTCTAGCAGCGGTTGAGAACATCTCAGTTAATTAATATTTACCAAAACAGTTATCCCTAATTTGCAATCCCTTTATTCCAGTAAAAATTATTACAATTCTCTGCATTCAGATTATTTTTTTTTTTCTGATTTCACTGCTTTCATGAGAAGAGAATTCCAGTGATTTCAGTAAAACTATTGTGACATACAAAGGATGCAGGGAAGTAGTAAATCAGAATCTGTGGAAGAAATCCTAATCCATGGAACTCAGTGGGAATTTTGTCATTGTTTTCAAGGGAGCAACTTTTTGACTGTAGCTCTACAAAATAATAACTTTTCTTTGTGTAGGTGTGAAACAAAGTTAATGTCTCAGTTATACTGATCAGATATGCACGGTATGATTACAGCTTCATTTCTTTATATACAGAAACAACAGAGAACTTTTTATCTTGATCTTTGTTATAATTCTCATGGGCAAATATACTTTGGGCTACAAATACTTCTGGAGAAATCATTCAAAAAGGTATAAATAAGGTAGCTTAAGCATGAGCCTTATCCAAGGCACCCTGAAATCAAAGTCTGATGTAGCTGACCTAGATATTTCTTCAAGAGGAGTGTGAAAATAAACAGTGACAAGAAGTGTTTGGGTTTTACTTGTTTTTTTGGCAAACAACCTGGCCCTGATTCACCTCTCACTTAATTGTATAAGTGCTATAAGTGATAAAGTCAGGTCTCATCATCTGGAAATAATAGAAGAATGAAAAAAAAAAATACTGTGCAAATTGTGATGGGGTCTTGACCATGAGAATGCAAGCTTGCAGTTTATCGGTTGAAGTGTTTCTGGTATGGACTGGCCTTCTTCAAGGTAGTGGCAAGAGATCTTCTGGTGTACTTTGAACCCATCCTTTTTGACTATCTGTGACCCAGGTAGATAAGAGCAAAGAAGAGCTCATGGAGTGATAAGAGCTCATTGATCAGGCCTACCAAACGGCCCACTGGCAATCCTGTTGTAGAAAAAGAGAGCAGAAGAGCATGGCATGGTTCAGTAATACAATGAGACCTGTGGGAGGAAAAGGTTACTTGGCACAGATACACTAAGGACAAAGACAGGAAGAAAAAACTAGGAAGAGAAGAATTTTAAGCAGATGGGAAAAACTGTCACAAGAAAAAATGGTTATAAACATTTAGGCTTCAAGGCAGAAGATGGTTTCTGGGTCAGGTTTCCGGGTCAGGTTTCTGTGAAATCAGAAGATAAAACCAGGAAAGTGAAGGTGGAGTCTGATTGTGTGCTCTGACTTTAGGAGAGGGGACCTGTGAGAACAGGGAGTTACTCTGTAGCACAAGACTATCCTTTTAGTCTCAAATTCCTCTGCTCTACATTAGGAGTAGTTCTGCTAAACACCGTTTCACAAAGCTGGCAATAAGGAAAAACATATCACCTTTTCCCCTATGAAAAATCACTTCAGTGTCTTTGCTCTGATACCCTCACAGCTTCTGAAAGCCTGTGCGCCACCAGAAGGGTGAGCAGTTCCTAAGGAAACAGGTATGTTCCACCCATACGAATGCTCCACTCCTCTCTGTATCTGGGATGCCTCATACAGAAAGTGTTGACAGCTCCAGTAGGGATTTTACAAGAGTTTGCCATTCATATTCCACAAGGACCAAAAGATCCACATGGGAATATTTAATATAAACAGTAACAGTTTCCCACATCTTTGTTTAGAGAATAGCCTGAGGATTTCTAAACTTTAGGATCATATTCATTCCAGAAGAATGGTTTCACTTATAGCCGTATAAATCTTTCTTTTATTTAAATGATGATTTTTCTCTTGTATCTGAATATTTAAATACAATATTCAGGTAATCAGACTGCCATGGGTATTACAGGTAACTCTCAGTTCAACTAATTTTACTTTACACTGAAAGACCTGACCCGATCTTCAGGGATGTTAGCTATCTACTATTATGGTGTGAGACCTGCCAGACTTCCAGGAAACTTAGTGGAGTTTTTTATTTAAGACAAATTAGGAAAAGATTTCCCTGAGGTTCCAAGATTAGCCTTGAGAAGGAATCCAGGACTGAAAAATTAAAGTCCAGCTTCCAGCTGCACTGGACTCCCAGTCACAGTAATCAAGTTGTGGAGCCTTAGTACTCTTGAAAGCCCAGTCTTGCCCTTAAGTGTCTAAGCAGGAGCTGCAAGATACTGAGCTGTTTGGACTGTCTGCTCTGAAGCATCCAAAAGGCCATTTCTCTTAGCTTGCCTTTGGGATATTTTAAATGCCTTTTTGGCATTCTTAGCCCTTTTAAACATTCCTAACTTCTTTAATAAAGGCTACTGCTATATCACACTTGTCACTACTAGCCACAATCTGATACAGCACATGCAACCTCCCTTGGAATTACCAAATGTAGGGAGGAAAAGCTATCTTTTGCTAAGAGATAATGATACTGTATTTCTGTCTTCTAGCGTTCATGCATAAGGTTCACAGATGACAATGAGACTGGAATACCTTTATTTCCTTCTGTTTTCTAGCTTATTTTTGGGTTTAATGCTCACATATGTCAGCTCTTCTCTGCAGCCATGTGGCCTTGAGTGCACTAGAAATGAACAGTTACTGGATAGTGGAGTGCTGCAATATTAGCTATTCATGAATCATTTCCCCACTCACACATATCTGTATTTCTGTTTTCATATCTATGCACTCTGAATAAGTTTAAGCAATGCTAAAACTCTCTCCTGGTACACTGGTTGAACATTTGTGTCCTGTTGTGTTCCGGGAAATAAAAAAGGTGGGTGAAAAATAGAGGTCACAAGTCATTGCAAAAAGCAATGCCTATTCTTTCACAGTTATAGTTAATCTGTCCTCAGAAAATAGCTAATACCTGGAGTTAACAGTAGGAAATTTTGCTAAAATTTCTAGCCCATGAATACTGAAGAGTGTATGAACACAGGGAAAATTTCAAACAAAATTGAGACATCGTAATCTTAACAGCTGTATGTGCCCTGGCAGGTTTTTTTAGCACATAGAACTCCTCTCATTCATTAATCATTGTTTCAGGAAATGAATAATGACATAGATTGTACTATAACCAATTCTTTAAAGTGAGAAGTGTGCATGGTATCATCCAGTTTACTGAAAGTCAGAATCAGGAGAAGAGCCAAACACTGTTCTATTTGTAACTCATGAGACCATGACAAAAATAAAGGGCGATCACTTTTTTGGAGGACTGACAGAGAAGGCTCTTTTAAATGCTTGTTGACTGCTACATCTTCTTTCTAGGAGTTAACAGAAATACACTACAACCAGACTCAAGGCTTTGATGTCAGGAAGGAAGCAAGCAGAGGTGTTAGGAGATAAAGAGACTCTTCCACTTGTCAGGTAAACTACAGAAGTTTTCTTTTTATACAAATTATATGTTATGTTCCCTTTGGATAGACACATAAAGAGAAAGCAGCTCAGTATGACCAGTGTCTTCCCTTACCAGTGCAGTCATTAAAGAAAACTAAATTTAAGTAGTTAAACAGTAGTTAATTTTTATAAACAAGGTATCGTTTATTGTAAAAAGGATGTTTTACATGAAGAGGACCAGAAATTCTTTCTTGAACTTTCATATAAAGAATACATTGATCTGATATATCCATGTCCTGGAATTCATAAAAGACAGAATAACATAGCTTTGTGATACTTTGTAAGAACTGAAAACAAAGATCAACAAGCAATTTAAGTCTATTCAATTAGATGTTTAGACTCATTACATAATATCAGAGCTAGGGAAAAAGAGATAACTTCCAATTCATTAATATTCACTTTTTCAGTGAATAATCAAGTGTGTTGTTTGTACCCAAGGCAAAAAGCCAAAATATAAGAAAGCATTTGCCAGAGTATCTATTTTATAAAACTTTGTCAGTATTGAAAATAACTGGTGTAAAACTTCCTATGTGAAGTGAATCAAAGCAAATATATTCGCTTGTTTTATTTGTTTCATCACCTGAAATTGTGATTTAATTGTACTTTGCAATGACTAAAGTACCTGTATACTGAAGAGTTATTTCTCTTGATCATGTGCTTGATAAAGGATTTCATAACTGGGGTTAGTCAGTTTCTTTGATTTTATGTTTCCCTTCTGCAGCCGCTGCTCTCTGGACTCTAAACAGCTTTTACTCCAAGCACATCAGTATTTATGGTGTGCCCTAAAGGACAGTGCCCCTTAAAACATATTCATAAAAGTTAGTACAGTCCTCAAGCACAACGAGATCAAAAGAAAAACAGTCTCGAAATGAGCTTTGAGATGAATGTTTTAGAGTCATTATCTGAGGTACACTGGCAGTCTCTAATGAGACATTTGTAATTTAATTGTGTCATAGAAAGACTATAAATTTCCTCCCAAGCCCACATCCAAGTTGTTTTTATAATGAAGATAAACTAACACACATACCAAAAATCTTTTGAATACACTATAACTTCTTCCAAAAAGATAAGGAGGGCCTATATCCTATCTGTGTCACTACACTTGGTTGCATAATAGAGCTTACAACAAGTAGGATAGAGGGCAAGAGTCAGTCTATAATAATTTAATACTGTACAATTCTTTACATTTCTGTTTTAATCACATGATATTTTAAAAGGGGGGACCAGTTTATAACAATACTAGAGAAAAGGAAGAAATAGCAAAATTTCAAAAGGGTGTTCTACAGAATCTTTAAATGGCATTATATTGTGTTTGATGCTTCCTCCAGGGAAGAAAAGGTTCTAATACTGCATGACTAAGGTGCTTCTGTGTCAGATTTCTATGACTTTGGATAGGCAATTCTAAAGATTTTTATGCCTCAATCAATACCAAAATGTTGCAAATTCCAAGCTCCTACATGGATTAGGACAAGCACGTATTTCAAATAAAGAAACAGATTGTGCAATACACTCACTTGATCCTACTGATGACCCCTCTGGGTATGATAATAATATTTATCGGTATGATAATAATATTTATCAGTATGATATTAATGTTTATCATGCAGTTATTTAATTTTCTTTTCCAGAAAGTACATATAGATTGCAGAAAAATACCACTGAAGCCCAAAATAAGAAATAATTAAATCATTATGCATAGAATCATAGTCACAGAATCATTTTAGTTGGAAAAGACCTTTAAGATCATCATATCCAACCATTAACCTAGCACTGCCAAGTCCACCACTAAACCATGTCTCTAAGCACCACATCACGTCTTTTAAATACCTCCAGAGATGGTGACTCAACCACTTCCCTGGGCAGCCTGTTCCAATGCTTAACAACCCTTTTAGGGAAGATACTTTCCATAATATTCAATCTAAACCTCCACTGACACAACACGAGATTATTTACTTTTGTCCTATCACTTGTTACCTGGGAGGAGAGACTGACCCCCACCTCAGTCCATACTCCTTTCAACCAGTTGTAGAGAATGATAAGGTTCTCCCTGAGCCTTCTCTTCCCCAGACTAAACAACCCCCGTTCACTCTGTCACTCCTCATAAGTCTTGTGCTCCAGATCCTTCACTAGTTTCACTGCCCTTCTCTGGACCTGCTCCAGCACCTCAATGTCTCTCCTTTAGTGAGGGACCCAGAACTGAACATGGTATTTGAGGTGGAGCCTCACCAGTGCCCAGTGCAGGGATACAACCGTCCAGATCACTGCCCTGGCGCTGCTCGCCAAGCTATTGCTGATACAAGCCAGGATGCTGTTGGCCTTCTTGCCTGCCTGGGCACAAGCTGGCTCATGTTCATCAGATTGTTGACCAACACCCCCAGGTCCTTTTCCACTGGGAAGTTTTCCAGCCACTCTTCCCCAAGCCTGAAACTGTTGTGACCCTGCAGCAAAATATGAAAACTGATCAGGAAAGATTGCAGCTATTTGACCATTTTGGTCTGATTCTTCCTTGCCTAATACCTTGTGGAGTCATTCACAGGCATGTAATGGCAATAAGAAACTGAGGAATGCAATCATGACCATTGTATTTCATACCAAATTTAAGTAAAAATAGAAAATCACACATTCTAGTCAGTGCAATATATTAGGCTTCTCCTTTCAGTAGCTAAATGGACTTTGATGGCTTTAATTTTACAGGGGGGTGGGCTAGACACTGTAATTTCTTCTTCAGACCTCAAAAATATAGGAACTATTGAGTAAAAGCCTTCATTGGGTTCAAGTCAATGGAGACTGAAGTCCTACTGCAGCTGGAAGGGATAGGAATTCGCAGGAAATACAGTACAGTATACACCAGAAAAGGAATGGGTTGTTTCAAATAAAAAGTTGTGTGACTTGTTGCTAATTCCAGAGAACGAGGTTACAGCTTGCAGATGAGGCACGGGCTGTAAACTATTCAGGGTGACTTTCATTGCTCAGAAGGTATAATTAAAAGGATGAAGCAAACTGCCAAAATCTACAATAGAAATGAATAGTGTACACCAGGTCAAAAGGGTTCTGGATACATTTCTGGAAGAAGAGACAGTGCACAGCTGTTAGCTCACATTTTTAAGGGTGAAGATGATCAGTTACTATATGAATTGATTGGTATTTCCTGGCCATGTTCTGGTAGGATTTAAAGTCTTCTCCTGGACATTCATATGTCATTGTTTCTATCTGGCAGCTGCATCCATCCAGTAGCAAATGCCTTCCATTGACTGGAAATGTATACTGTAGATTAAAATTTCTCTAGTTATCATAAAAAATACCTTGGTGTGAGGGAATTTTCTTGGTTTGCTGTGATGCAATTCAGATCAAGCAAAAAGGAGTGGGTAGCTAGCTCCACCACTGGGAGCCTTGTCTCCCATTTAATCTTCATGACAGTGCCTAGATCTGGGAGTGTGGATATAACTAGCTGCATACACACATCCATGCAAATAGTATCAAAGAACCATAGAACGGTTTGGGTTGGAAGGGACCTTAAAGATCATCCAGTTCCAGCCCCCTGCCATGGGCAGGGACACCTTGTACTAGGTCAGGTTGCTCAAAGCTCCCTCCAGTCTGGCCTTGAACATTGTCAGGGGTGGGGCTGCCACCGCTTGTCTGGGCATATCCAAACACTTGCATATACTTTTTTTGAATCCGACTGACTTTACAGCTTCTGCAGTGCAATGCACCATGTAAAACTCAGAACAAGGGACAAACAGACAGGACTGAGGATAATCTGATCAGATGACACTGCAACTGTCATTGAATCCCACCATAGCAACTCAACCTGCCAAGCCTAAAAGCACACTACCATCTGAAATAAGTAGAGGCAGGCATAGGTAAAACTGAAGAGCTTTAGAAAATCTAAGGCTTACGAACTTCTTGGGTGCTGTAATCCTCCCAATCATATAGTACCACTTAGACACCTCATCATCTGTAAAAGGGTGATTACCACTTCAGAGACAACTGTGAAATCACTAGAACAACTGATGTGACTTTAAGGACTGTATTTCCACACTGCTGGTGCAGAAGATACGCTCTAAAGGGTATTAGGGTGAGAAGAGATTGCAACCGTTTGGATAATTCTTGGAGCCCTTTGTAGTAGGCTGAAAAGCTGAGGGTTAAGGAGCCCTGCCTGCTCCCTAGCATGTCTTGAGCTCCCGTTTATTTGGGGCTGCAAATGCTGCACCACTTCAGCAAGGCTCTCTTTGTGCAACATAAGCAGTAGGCATGGAGGAGCTGGCCAGGCACGATTGTACTTAACTCTTTACACCCCCTGTGACATGGAGCAGCAACCCACTTTCACAGTTCCAAACCAGGGAGGCTGAGTGTGAAGGCTGAAAGGTTTTTTTGTATCCTGGACAAGTTACCTGGGACACTAACTGCATGAAATCTGCTTACACCAGAGCAGCAGCACAAAGAAAAGTCCAAGGCTTTCTCTGCTCTCACTAGCACTGTGGATCCAGTGCAAAGAGGAAATAGCTACTCCTGGCTTGGCTCCAAATCTACAGGGTCCTGGGAACATAAAAGCAGCATATGGAGGCAGCTCCTGTGGCTAATCCTGGTGCCATGCAGCCACTCTATTTGATAACTCTTTACTCAGAGGAGTTAGTAAAATTTAGGTCATATTAGTATCCTACCTATATATGGAAAAGACCATGGATAACCAGTTTTGGTCCTAGGCTTTTTTTCAGCATAGTCTGAGTCACCCTCATTAGATGTAGGAGCAACAGAAATAGAAACTGAAATTCTCACTGAAATAGACCCAGAGAAGTCCTCACAGACTCAGTCTTCTCTCAACTAGCCCCCAAGTTTTCCTAGGCACTGCATAAATACAGCAGGAGATTCTCCATACTTCAAAAGGGTTTTAATCTAAATATCAGCAGAGATTTAATAGCAGTTCAAATGTTTCATAATTTTCCAGCTTCGCATACCACATGCATTGCTAG